TTATTTTCAAACGTATCGTAATCAATTCAAACAGTTTTAAAAATTAACTAGATTGTTAAAAAGTAGTTTAAGATTATAAAGAATAACTAAACATAAAGTAAGTTTGTCTTAGGGCACGGCACATGGCTACTGTGATACTTCAAATTAGGTAAATTAAACAAACAAGTACCGAGATAACTTTCCAATTATAATAAAATTAAAACCTTGATGTAATCAATTATTGCAAAATGGATGTTTCCGACGCTTTTATAATATCGCATACTGTACGCCTAAAAGTGTCAAAACATTATTTAAATTTTATGAAAAACTACAATTGTAATGGTTTTTCAATCTAACGCAAAGTGTCGATAAATAACGTCTTACGATAAATAAGCGTGTTCAACATTACAATGATCAATTCCATTCGTTGGTATTCTCTAAACAATTACTCAATAATGACATCAGAAAAATTATATAAAAATGCACAATTTATCCGATTTTCCAGACAATCACCTATTGTACCCAACCAGAGATGCTTTGATTGAATGTATATTTTCCAGATGTACGAGCTAATTATACTAATCATGCGTGGCTACGTGAACGAGCTATTTCGTCTGTTAAATATATAGAGATCGACGTAAAAAATTCAAGATACAACAGTCATTACCTGGCAATCAAATATCATTGAAATCGATCGACACGGTTGTCGATCCCGTAGATTTTGTGAACTATCCTGCTGAATTCTTGAGTTCACTGGATACACCTGGAATGCCACCATATAACTTGCAATTAAAATTTTGTTCAAGGATCTCTTTTCTTGGGTGTTTGAATGCACGAATGCTATGCAATGGCATGCGATTAGTTGGAAAAAAATCAGGAGCTAATTTTATTGGAGCTATCATCGTCAACGGCAGATTTGAAGGGGAAAATGTTCTTTTACCATAAATCCCAAAAGTTCCTTTTCGATTCAATTATCACAATTTACAATTTATAACCCGCTTAGCATTCGCAAGAATGATTGAATGAGTTATAAGGACAAATAATCAGATATTAACAGATCGTTTTTATGGTGTTTTCTGAGTTATGCATTCATATATTTTCAAATCAGCTTACACATACACATAAACATTTAAATCCCAGTAAAATATTTTCAATTATTTTCCTCCTACAGGCCAATTAGCTAGCAATTGAACATTTTTACGTTTTTTGAGATTGCTAATAAAATCAATAAAAGCCAGAATTGAATATCAAATAGTTTGATTATTAAATAGTTTTTCCCATATAACTGTCTTCTAGGACATAACTATAAAATAACTATCAAAATATAAAATAAAATATAGTCAACAGAGCTATTTATGTCTAGCCACTAATTTTAATAATTAAATCTTATCTAGAAAACAATGAATTGTAGTATGTCAGCTTAAATGACGTGGAGACATCACCATGGAAATTCTCCTAAGGTATTTGAAAAGAAAGGACCTTTCGCCAACCCTATTATAGACAAATGAAATTTCTTGATGATTTCTTCATTCGATAAATCAAGATTCAACAATCTTTTAATAACATTCTGAACTTCTTCAACACTAGAACAAACCTAAAAAGTTTTTTTTATGAAAGATTGTGACCAATGCTGGCAAGTCAATCATTTACTATTCGTACCAGAAATGATGCACTATAGAATTAACTTTAAAGTGATGGAGAAAAAACAAATTCATGAATTGTTGAAAAACTGTTATTGATTAAGTTGTCCACCAGTCTGGATATATGAAATTCAGTACATATTCAGTTCATTCAGCGCGAATAAAACGAATCCTAAGCCAAACACTAAACCTATCTAGGTAGGTTCCTAACTGGGCTCAAGACTAACAAGACAAGAGTAACATGATGACAGTACATATATCTAAAAATAAGTATTACAAGTAAAATAATTTATAATCTTCCCAAATGTCGCGGAAGAGTTTTTAGGGTCACGATCTACCAGTCCCAATAGAAGCATAAATAGTTAAAATTTATCATTTTTACCAATATAATAATATTGGATTTATTTTACCAATGAGAAACCATTTTACTTTACCAAGAAGAAATTGGTATTTTTCAAATATATTTTCTATTTATTATTTTGATTATGTTTTTTTTATTTAATACTTTTATTTTTCTCATTTTTGGCGTTTAAATAATTATCATACGAATTCTGTGCAAGTATAAATATCATGATTTATTTTTTATATTTTTTTAAACTATAAATCACTCTTGCTTAATGTTTATTAAAAATTGTAATAAAATTGAAATAAGAAAGCTTTTTAGCTGGTATCAATCCAGATATTTAAAACAAAAACTAAATTATGTTTTTAAAGCAATTTTATCAACTGAAGAAGAGTCAAAAGGGAATTCGAAACGCGTAGAAATTTTTACAAAAAAAAAATGAAAATATCTGGATGGGTGCCTGATAAAAGGCGTTTTAGTTTAAATGTGATTATTCAATAGAATAAGATTTTAAATAAGAATACAAACTTATCTTTATACTAAGATGACCATACGGTTTGGCCGCGACAGTCCCAGATTTTCACTTTATCCCGCGTTTTCGAAAAGTGTAAGTTTAAATTAAATTTTTGCTCCTACTTGATAAAAAAAAATACAATTACAATTACCCATCAAATATCCGAAAACGATGATATATACAATGAGTATGCTTATATAAAACTATACGTTATGAATAGAATCACATTAATAATAATTTCAAACTTTCATTTTTAAATTAACGAAAATTATGAAAACGAACTTAATGACAGAAACATACAGATTGAAGAATTTCTGATTAGAAAAAATCGATTAATTTAAAAAAAACTGATTTTTATTGTATTCTTCAATAGTACCTGTTTTGTTAAATCATGTTTAAATCATTTAGTAGATATAAAGCCCCCCGTCCCGTCCCGGATTAGCATAACCGCAAATTGCCGTCCTGGTTTTGACATTAAAAATATAGTCAAAAAATCGCGTTTTTGAAAAACTTTTAGGGAAGGAAATAAATATTTAATTAAAACGAAACTTTCAAGTTTTATTATTGTTATATATTTCAACATTCTTCTCAAATGTTTTCATTAAAATATATGTCATACATAATATGCCGGGTACAAGCATTTGGCCGAGGCGACACTAGCGTGCATGTGTCGTTTGGCGGGAAAGGTGCAGGTCACAATTTCCATCAGAACAAAAAAATAAAAACCAATTTATATTTTCAATAGTATAGATTTTAGTTGAATCTGAAGAAATCCAGAAAAAAGTGATAAATTCACCAATTCTTCGCAACTTAAGAAAAAATCATGTTTTTTGGTAAATAAAAATCACTTTAGATTGTTAAAAAAGTGGGTTTATTATAACTTTTTTTAAGGTTTTTAGGCTAAACTAGAAGAGAATTTAATCCTGAATACAATCAATTTTGTCTCGTTTAAATAGAACGTTCAGTTTTTTTAAGTGAAAAACCGAGAAATCGCGCGTCGAAGTTTCCGTTCTGCTCAAATACATGCTCTACGCTTACTATTTCTTCCGTGACTCCGAAAATAATTTTGAATTTGTTTCTGAAATTTTAGGGATATATTCTTGGCTAGTTTTGGAAAAAAAATTTGTAAAAACAATTGATTTTTAAGCTTCTAAAGCAAACTCAACCCTTAATACTTCTAATACAATCCTACCAAGAATTTTAATAGCAAGCTATGAATTAACAAAAAAAATAATACATTAATAATTCATCAAAAGAAGAAGTGATATTGTTTGGCATTACGTTACTTCAATTCTCAGTATTTGTGTTCCTTTAGGACATTTTATAAATTACTCACTTTTTTTAAAGAGCAAGTTTTTTACTCTATTGATGAGTATTTGAGTTATAATTTTTAGTAAATTATTCTGTGTTTTTTTTTCTTTCATATAAAAGGCAAAACTTATAGTAAGGTTATGAGTTAACATTGGTTTTTTAACTTCCCGAAGGAGAAATTTATGTTTTCATAAAAAAAATCCGATTCGCTAATTTATTATTCGCTTGGTCTCGACGTTTCAAGCCATTCTGAATCGAATGAGACCAAATTTGGAAAAAGTATGTGTGTGTGTGCGTGTGTATGAACAGATTTTCGGTCGTAAATCGGCGTTTTCTCAAAAACGTCTGAACCTATCTATTTCAAAAATTTAAAAGCCATTCGATGTATCTTCATGAGGATGATTGTTTGTCAGTTTTTTGCGACGATCGGCCAAGCCGTTTCTTTGTAATTTGGAAAAAAGTGTTAAATTTTTCGTCCACATTTCAGCTCATACTACCGAATTGATTTTCAAAAATCAAAAACTGTTCGAAAGATATTAGTTGGGAATGATACTGATTAGTTTTAGATGAAAATCTACCGAACCGTTTTCTTGTAATTAACTATTGAAAAAAAAATTTAAGACGATATTTATGGAACTTTTTGGCGATATATATCATGGTCTTATAGAACTTACTAAAACATCACGGCCTTACAACAAGTAGTATAATTTTAAAAATTTATCAAAGTTTGAGAAAATGAGTAGTTTTTGTTAAAAATAAAATTAGACGATTTACTTGGTATAACGATAGAGTGCTTGGTCTTAATGAACATACTAAATTATTAAAGTCCTACGAAAACTGGTTCAAATATGAAAAAATGATTGATTTTTGAAAACTTGTTTTTAGAAAATACTCCGAGTTAACGTGTTCGTTCGTTTTCAATAATGTGTAATAAATCCATTCGGAATACTTTTAATCACTCATAAATTAATTTATTTTTTATTGATTAAGTCGATTATATACACATATCGGAAAGTTCATGTAACTTGCCTCATGGCAAAATACCAATACCAACTAGTTAAATTATATTTTATTTAATATAGTATGTATCATTATCTATTAATTTAAGTTATAATTGTATAATTGTATAAATAAATATAAATGAATAAATAAATGAATAGTATCTGTCTTCCTTTTGCACAATGTTTTTATAAATAATAATTAATTTACTTACATTTGGAAGCCGCCTCGAATTTGTCGGACTTTTTCTTTCGTTTCCATTTCCATGGCTTGAAGAGTTTTCCTAAGGCTGACAGCTTGCTCTTGCGTTCAAGCTGCGGGGGCCATACACCCACGCCTCCCAGGCTATTCGTTCGCACAGCCACACCGTTCTGCTTCTTGCCTGAAGGAATTAACATCCATTGTGTATTTATACTATCGTATAAATGTCACATATAATAATACAAAAACAACAAATATATCCTTCTATCTACATTATATTCAATCAGCACGTATCAACAATAACAATTTACAACAATATATTTCATTTCAAATACGAGCATTCGCACTAATCTTTCCATATCATGAATATATTCCTGAGAATAGTTTATGACCGAATGTGCTACATATCTTAGAACATGTGACGCAAGTAACAATAACTAAAAAACACAATTATATACGACATTGTAAATACAGCTCTTATCTGATCTACGTCGTTTAATATTTGATAAAATACTCTCAAAACTTTGTTGTAAAAAATATATAAAATACATATTCTTCAGTTGAAGAAAGATGAGTAAAGTTAATTGCCTTGTCTACTGTCGGTAGACTACTTGTACTAACGAATATCGTAATCCTTTATTATTAATGTGCAAATGAATAAAATTTATTTTAATAATTTATTATTATTTATTTTTGTTTCGATGCTAGTGTTACAGAGACAACTACTTTTGTCATTTTTGATTGATTTGCCATTGATCGCACAACGTTATGTGAAAATAACAAGATTATGCATATTTATTATCGAAAGTAAAACTAAGATTTTAATACAAATTTACATACAATGATATAATATAATATAATATGTGGTGGTTTTTTATTTTTTTTTATATTGATAAAAAAGTCCTCTATAAGTTTTAGCTCTTAATATTATCTCTTAGTTAGTGCGCAATTCAATCAAAGTTTTGTATGGAAATAGCATGGAAAAATTTTGAAAAATTTTAAAAATGTTTTTTTAGATATAACTTAGCGAACAAATGAACGAGTTTTATTCAAAATTCGACGCTCTACAAAACAAATTATAAAAAACCTGTTTTGCAGAGCGTCTAACTTTCAATAAAAAATGACACAAATTGTCACTTTTAATTTATTTGTCGCTAAGTTATACCTAAAAAACATTTTTAAAATTTTCGAAATTTGTACCATGCTATTTCCATACAAAGCTTTGATTGAATTGCGCAGTTATATTAAGAGCTAAAATTTTTAGAGATTTTCTTTTTATCAATTTGGAAGCATTTAAGCCTCTGGCTTAAATTCGAAAATGTCCATATTAAGGGCCACCCTTACATTCCTATGGGTTCCGTACCAGTGTTTATCCATTAAACGGCGACGCGGCGCTTACGCGCTTTGACATTTTGTCTCTATGCAGTTAAAGCAGTACGATTGCTTTAAAAAAAGTTCAGAATTTCCAAAAAATGTCAAAATAAAGAAAACATTTTTTTTTTCAAAAAAAGTAATTTAAGTCAAATTCATAGTTTCTCAAAAATCTAGTTTTTTCGAAGTAAAATTTTTTCAAAAATGTTAATCGTTTTTAAAAAAATAATATTTAGTACGGGAAGTTCCAGCAATTTGCATTAAGGCTAGATACCATGCGCCCCACTAGTTAAATTATTGTATCATACCTATTTATTTATTGTCTTCATCATCAATATGAGTACAAAAAAATAATGAGTACAAAAGGAAACATAGTTGAAAATAAAAAGCTACTTCCTGATATTTTTTCTCTGATATTTTTTGGCCGAATAATTTGGTCGAGTTATTTCGTCAGTAATGGGTATTTTATCTATTGGCCAATAAGCTTCAACGCTTTATAACCATCATTAAATTGTAGTAACGGCGAGTTAGATTATTTTGATTGAAATAACAAATGTTTTATAAAGACCTTGTAAGAGTATATCTATACTATATATCTACTGAAAACAGATAAGATAATAATAAAAGAAATTATGTCTTTTGATGTTTACATGTTAATTTAAACTAATCATTATACAAATGTTGATTATTACTTCAGCTGATCACTCGTGCCATTTTATTTAAAAATAATTAAAAAAAACTAAACCCCCCTCGTACCCAACACACAGTTTTCAAAACAAATCACGGTTGTTATGACTGATCTAAATTATCTACACAAAAAATATTTGCTGGTAATTAATAACTACTGTTCAAATTACACTAAAATAACAAACAAAGGAATCTATCTGTATACGAGAAACAGTTATTATCAAAGGAAATCGAACGAAAAAACTTTTTTTTAAATTCTATAAAAGCAAGGCGTTCTACAGATCGTGTTATGTAGTTATGTAGACTGACTCAATGCAATCATGTAAACTTGTTTGAACCAACATACTTCATCTTTCTCCCTTTGGACCCTAACTCAAAATCAGTAAAATTTAGCTGTTATGGCCACTTTCACTACCGTAACCTGGCACAACCGTACCTGGTCTCCTCTACAAGTGACTTTTAGGTTCACTTTTGTTGATCAAAATAAGTTGTAATTTGTTTTTATTTTATTTTTGTATCAGTATAGATTCAAATCAAACAAGTTACTAATTAATGCATTTCATATAATTTTATTATTCAGATTAATGAATCTAAAAAGAATTTGTAAACGCATATTATTTTTGCATTGAATATCAACAATAAAACAATATTTTTCAAAGAACAAATTTATTTTAAACTTGGAATATGGTATGGAATTTAGACAAGGAACAAATTTAATACCTACAAATCACCGAATCCTATTTATCAAAAGTATAATAAAAAAATAAGTAATAAAAAATATGTATATAATAGTCGCAGTATGTTAGTATTATATAATTTTAGTTAAGCTTATCATTTCCCGTTCTGAAAAAAGCCCGTGCAAATATTCATATTATTAATATTCCGAATATTATTTTTTGTTTTGTATAATGTGGCTTGTTTTTGTTACAAATCCATATGTAAGCTTCATTCGAATAGAGAGTCGAATAGAGTTACTTTTATCAGAGATTTGGCATATCAGTAATGTTTTCTCTATTGAACAGCCATCATTATTATGAGTCCTATAAGCTGTTGTGATGACACTTTTTAACTTTTAGAGGGCAACCCAACGGTTGGCCTGTCTCTATTCAATATTGTATTATATGCTTATAATTTAATGCAGCAATACTGAGAAATGCTATTTTGACTTATTGTTAGAAATATATTTCCATCTACATTTGTGAAAACTGAGGTCCAAAGAACTTGGACCTCAAATTGGAACCACATGGTTGGCAGACCGAACTCTATCCAGGCCACAAAAAGAGCCTCAGATTGATAGCTCAATTTATACGATTGGATTTTAATAAAAAAAAATATCTATAAAAGTCTATATTATCTATAAAATTATTAAAAAAGTTCCTAAATAAATATAGAACGAAAGGTTTCGATTGCTGTTAAGATATGAGAATAAAAAAAAATCTTATGGCTTCTAAGTTATTGATCAAGAGTAAGTATACTAAAGATTACAGTTTAACTAAATATGCATGTACATTTAATAGAAAGTATGAAATATCAAAAAATAATTAATTATGACAAAAATAATAGTTAAATGTAGAGTACATAAATTGAAAACGCAAATATCGTGATAAATTATAAAATGTATTACAATTTTTATCCAATTTACCGAAAATTATCTCAATACACTTCCCAAATAATACTGCAAAAACTAAACAATAACGTTTTCAGTAAAAGTAAACATTTGTGAAACTACCATCAACAGGATGCAAGTTGCTATTGTCATTTTATAACAATAAATATTGAAACTATTGTTGATTTCACGAATTCATTCACCGACGCGCGATCTATATTAATATTAAAATAATTTATATTAACTCAAATTATATTGGAAATACAAGTAATTGTAATTATATAAATCAACAATTAAATATAAAAATGAATTTCATATTTAATAAATTAAAATTAACATAATTGGACAACTTTCCTCGGAAACAAATATTTCTTTTTCTTGAATTCAAGTTCTGTGTTATATAATTTTTTGATATCTACTAAATGCCGTACTGAATCATCTAATTTCTAATTACATAAGTAGATCTAATTTCCTAGAATTATTGTATGAGTAAAGAAAGAAAACTGGTGGTGCATGGCATCATGCCTTAAGGCAAATTACTGGCACTTCACCTACCGCAAATTAAAGTTTTTAAAAGCTCAGAAAAAAAAATTATGTTTTTTGAAAATACTAAAATATTTGAAAAATTTGAAATATTTGAAATTGCCTTCTTTAATAATCACGAACTTCTTGAAATTATTGATATTTTTTGAAAATTTTTAAATTTTTGAAAAGTTTTTGATACCCATTCATGCCGTTGCCAAATCCATACTGTCAAAAATATCTGATTTTCGACCGCTAAAATTTTTTTAGGATTTTTTTAAATTTTTTTCTGAAAACCGCTGGTGCTGCCTTTTAATTGAGGTAAAAAATAAATACACGTGATATCTTTTAGACTAGACCCTCCCCCACGTGATATTTCGCATTTTTTTTGTAACCCCCTCCCCTCTCCCTTTAAAGCTCGAATGATTAATAGACGCCCTCTTAACAGAGCGAATGATCAACTGCATATAATAATTATTTTTATGAACATTTCAAGTTAATTTTTTAGAGTAAGGTTAAATTTTGTAAATACATACCACGAATAAATATTTCCATAAAGTCATGAAATATAGATTTGGAACAATACTAAACTGATTTCGTTTCAAACAAATTATATGATAAAACGATATACGAATAGTAATATTTTAAGATATTACATAGCATCTTACAATTATTTAAATTCTTAAGGACTTTAAAAACAATCACGAAAACTGTTCACTTTCAACCACTGTGAGATATTTGTACTAAGCAGTTAGCAGTTTATCACAGAAATGACTTGACTTGAACAGATATACACAGATTGCTTATCAACAAGCAAACTGATATTTGTATTACGTGCCTGATTGTACATTTTTTCAAAAAAAATTTAGAGAAGAAGTTGTTACAAAATTAAAGATATATTCGACACACTTTAAAAAACTTGGTTGAAACAGTCCCGAATTTTGTGTCCAGAATTTTTTTAGTAACGATATTTGTCCCAGTTTCTGATTATTAAAATATTTAAATAAACTCATTTTTACAAAGTTTGAACCGAAAATATTATGTATATTGAAATATTAGTCTTGGAGCTGTGTTTCCTATCGTACATCCTAACCTAGTATTTTTCTCGAGAGGGTCAACCACATAACCAAAAAAAAAGGTAAACTAGCTGTAAGTGGAATTCTGTCTTAAGGCAATTAAGGCATCGTGCCTTAAGGCAAATTGCTGGAACTTCCCGTACCAAAAATTATTATTTTTTTAAAAACGATTAACATTTTTGAAAAAAATTTACTTTGAAAAAATAAGATTTTTGAGAAACTATAAATTGGACAAAAAATTACTTTTTTTTGAAAAAAAAGTTTTTTTTTTTAATTTTTTTTTTTGAAAAAAAATTTTTTTTTTCTTTATTTTGACATATTGTGGAAGATCTGAACTTTTTTTTCAAAGCAATCGTACTGCTTTAACTGCATAGGGACAAAATATAAAGCGCGTAAGCGCCGCGTCGCTGTCTAACGCATAAGCATTGGTACGGAACCCATAGGAATGTTAACAAAATGTATACTTATTGTTAAAATCTCTATAAAATATCTGATAATTTGATGTGCATATGTCTAATGATCATTTTTGACCGCCAAATGGCTCATTTTTTTACTTTTTCCTCCATATCTCCGAAACCGCTAGACCTACCTTCATGAAAATTTTATCGATTTTTCATCTTGTCAATACAAGTGAAACGTTTTTTGAATTATTCAAATCGGACGCTCCGTTCTCTTAAAAACTGAGTTACCGTTTTCGGCACTTTTTGCCCCGTATCTTCGGAACGGCTGGACCTGTCTTTGCCAAAAACTAATCAGCACGTCTCCTTATCAATACGAATCGAATGTTTTTTAAATTATTCAAATCGGTTGATCCGTGTTCCCGAAATCGTCGACGAAAATTTGTATCCGCACATACATACACACACGTACATACACACACACACACACACACACACACACATACATCCATTTTTTTCTAAGGTATGCCAAAATGTTCAGAAACCTCTGAAACGTAAAGATATATAAAAATTTTCATTTTCGATTTTTTTGCGATTACTATAACTTACCCTACGGGAAGTTAATAAAGCAGGTCGAGGAACAAAGGTCCAATTTGACTTTGAGTAATTATATTGTAAAAATCAAACCAATTTGATCACAACAAATAACATATCAAACAAACAACTATGTTCAGTGAACTCCCAGCTAAGTAAATCATCATTGTAAAAATGCGTTTCTTTGCTTCTTTTCAAAAAATTTGTCACCTGGTCCTTTTCTCCCCATAGTCGGGTTAAAATAGGACGGCCAGGGACAAATAGGTCCAATGTATTATTTTTAATTTTTAAGGTATTTTACAAAATAATAGACACTTTATTCAGATTTAGATACAAAAATTTCATGGGTACATTTTTTATAGAGATGGCACTGTATATGACCTGGATATGGTATTTCGTCAGAAATATTCATCAGCAGAATTGGAATAACTACTTATTTAATTTCTCTTGTATTTTTTTTACCTAATTTACTTTTTGATTCTTTACAGCTTTGCCAGAGTAAAAGTTCAGTTGATCTTTTTTACCCCAGTCACGTGTAAGTTTTTTATAAAAATAAAACCATTACCTAAAATTTATATTAAAAAGAACAGTTACAACCAAAAAACTAACAACAGAAAATACTTTTGTTGGAGATTTTTAAACTTTTTCTTTTTTTCCCTCTACTTTCAAATATTGTTATTAGAAAACACTTGTTTTTGAGATATCGGTGGTGGCCCTTTTTACCCGCGGAACCCTTAAGCCCCTATATTAATAATCGTTGATTAATATAGAAAATTTCTATGCTAATCTTTAAGAAATATAATAAACATTAAACTTAAAAAAAAGCACTTACGAGTATGTCTTCGTTCACACTCGGCCATCAATGTATCATAGTGCGTACTGATTATTCAAATTTTTAATTATTTTTTTTAAATTAATCACTCTTAAAGCTATAATATTTTATAAGGTTTCTTTTGACTACAAAATCCACGACAAATATATGTAAAAACTTTTTTCTTGGTACTACAGCCTATTTAAGGTTTGACTAGATCTAAATTTCGTAAAGAAATGTAACGAGTGAAGCTTTTGAATATCGTTGAGAAATTTAAAAAGTTCTTATCGCAAATTAACTATAAATATAAAGTTTCGTACAAAAATATAATATATACTTTCTTACAATTGACATATAAAATAAACATTGAACGAGTTTAATGTCATACTAAAACATTTGAATTAGTTTTAGAATTATTACATATCAGAGTCAGCACTTTTATACAATATAGAATCATTATGAGAATTCGTCACATTTTTACAATTACTTTAGTATTTAGAACATAATAGAGAATTTGCTTTTCCAAATTTTCAAATTACTCAAACTATCAGAATTTTCAAAAAAAAATATTACAACGAAACTAAAATAAGTAAGAGTGACAATTATTTTTAAAAAAAGGTGATTGCGGCAGACATCATTTACTTCTTATCTTTCGATAGGACTCATCATAGTAATCAGAGAATAAATGGTCTATTTCCTAGCCACGATTTGTAATTTTATTAGATTATTATTGATGACTATTATTGATTAATACAAATGTAATATACATTTATCAAATGGAAATTTTATTCAATATTCTTCAAGTGATCGGGAATAAAACCTTCCGTATTTTACGTTTTTCTTGTTTTTTTGCAAATATCTCCAATAATATATATATATATATATATATATATATATATATACATTTTAACAAAAAATAATGTTAAAAAAAATTGAGAGCGTTATGATTGTTTAAAGGGTGCGCGGCCGTTTCAAAATAAGAGGAGTTAAGCTAAAATTAAATAAAACCCCAAAAATGATATGATTTTTGTTAGTGCATTTTACTCAGAATTTTCAAATTTTACTAGCAAAAATCATGTCATTGTTAAGTTTTTATTTTTTTACTCAATTGTTTTCAATAAAATTCAATAATAAAATTATCGTAGTAAAAAATAATAAATAGTATTTTACCTCTTTATAATCCTAATTAAATGCGCCAATTTTTAGTGGAACTTGCCAACACACTTTAGTACATTTTTTTAAAGGAGTGCCCTCTCAAAGTCAACCCATTTTAAAAAATTTCAATTCATAGTTCTACAAAAAGTCTAAATTCTTAAAAACTTGTGGCAATTGTGGTATTGTTTTTTACTGTAATTAAAAAAATGTTATTCAGAATTATGGTTCCAAAGTTTAAATGAATAAAATTAATAAAAATAAAACACAATAAACGAAAAATCGCAATCACCGAAGTTCTAGGTCGCACAAAGAAGCTCAAAATTTCCAAACAACGTGAGATATTTTATCTCTAAATTTTTTTCCGGACATATAATGTTAATTCTATCACCCTGTTTTGGTTTGACATCGAGGTCTAGGACACCCTCTATATATGGTGCAATAAATGGCAATTTGGTGATTATAAATAATAATTTAACGAATGCATATCATGTTCTCTAAATGATTACTGGGATTGTAAAAAATATACATTTTGCCTTCTGTATCATTATATTAGAAATTTTAAAGGTAATTTCTCTATAACTTAGTCTCTATAACCAGTCAAAACATTTCAAGTTTACGTATAAAACATTCAAGTTTAATTCACATATTTTATAATAGCTTTAAATTGTTTTACCTTATTCGGTGATAGTAACAAATAGAATGTCTTTTATTATATTATTATCTTGATAATATTTCCAATATTATTTAACTTCCCGTAGGTCAAGTTATAGCAATCGCAAAAAAATCGAAAATGAAATTTTTTATATATCTTTACGCTTCAGAGGTTTCTGAACATTTTGGCATACCTTAGAAAAAATGGATGTATGTGTGTGTTTTTTTTTTGTATAGCGAAGGAAATGCCTTTATGCATCCCAGACTGAATGTGTGTGTGTGTGTATGCGGATACAAATTTTCGTCGACGATTTCGGGAACACGGTTTAACCGATTTGAATTATTCAAAAAACAATCGATTCCTATTAATAAAAAAATGCTGATTAATTTTTGGCATAAGCAGGTCTAGCCATTTCGAAGATACGGGGCAAAAAGTGCCAAAAATGGTAACTCAGTTTTTAAGAGAACGGAGCGTCCGATTTTAATAATTCAAAAAACATTTTACTTGCATTGACAAGATGAAGAACTGATTAAATTTTTGGGAAGGCAGGTCTAGCGGTTTCGGAGATCTAGTAAAAAAAAGTAAAAAATGCCATTTTGAGGTCAAAAATGATCATTAGACATATGCACATCAAATTATCAGATAAATCAATTTTATAGAGATTTTAACAATAAGTATAATTTTTTTTTACATTTCTATGGGTTTCGTAACATCGTTTGCCCGTTAGACTGCAACGCGGCGCTTACGCGCTTCAATAATGCGTCTTTATGCAGCTAAAGCAGTGGGATTGCTTTGACAAAAAAGCTCAAAATTTCCAAAATATTTCAAAATAAAAAAGGATTTTTCTCCAAAGGTTTTTTTTCCAAAAAAAGTTATTTTTTTTTCAAAAATTAAAAATTTCTCAAAAATCTATTCTTTTTCAAAGTTTAAAACTTTAATCTTTTTTGAAAAAAAGTTTAATTTTTGCTACGGGAAGTTCCAGCAATTTGCCTTAAGGCACGATGTATTACACTACTAGTTTTCAAAATATTTTCAAAAAATTCTAAATTCTCAAAAATTTCCATATTTTATTCATACAAAATTTGTTTACTATCCGAAAAGTTCTGTCGAAAGGCGATTTGTCTCAAGGCTCATTGCCGCACACCACTAGTACTATATTGAAATGAAATAAAAAGGGCCTCACCACCGATAACGGTGTTGGCAGCAACCTCCTTGGCTGCAGCGGCTGCAGCTGCCGGTCCGCAGTGGAGGATATCAGACAGCGAGAGCGACGAGGCGATCAGCTGGCGCTTCTCTTCGAAATTCAAGTAGTCCAGGCTGTTGCTTCGATTTGGGGCTAGAATGGTAACCGTCTTGTTATTGGGCTGCTGGGCGCCGTTCGCCTTGTCTGTCTGATCTTCCAGACCGCTCGTATTGTTCGCGATCTTCTCGGTTTGCGGTGTCGTAATAGCCGGAGCAAAATACACACCACTCATACGAATAGACATCGCTTGCGAGCTTGGACCGAGAACACACTGAACTTTTCTTAAATCACAAATAGTATCTTTCACGCACTATTTTGTTTATTAATATCACATGATTATGTCTATGTTTATGTAGTTTGATGATACTCTGATCTGCTATCATCGCGTGTCAATTCGCATTAAATCTTCAATGCTACGTTTCATTGTGCGTTCATCATCTGGTTGTTGCGACGTGTTATTTGTCGGCAACATGGAAAATGCTATACAAGCCCAATTGTGCAAATTTCTGTTGCATATACATTATTTTATTAGGGACACTAAGATTTTAATAAAAATAAAATGTCAATTATCTTTCACTATTCTACTGCAAAGTTTATTTCACAGGCACAATCCTGAATTTTAATAAATTCTATTGCATTTTTATCACAAAGTACCGGACTTCTTATTTCTCCAACAATCTGAGAAATATATAGACATCAGTCTTAAGTACAATTAAAAATACAAAAAATCAAATGAAAAGAAATATGTATATCAATTAATGAAAAGTTTACTGGCTGCTATACTGCATAATCACAATGACCTCTTTGAAAAAAGTATATATTTCGAAAAAAAATTAAAAATAAATAAAAACATGATGGCAAAAACTACATTTGTACTAATTAGTATCACATTAAAAAAATCAACTAAAACCCTCATAATTTATTAACTTCCCGTAGAACAAGTTATAGTAATCGCAAAAAAAATCGAAAATGAAAATTTTTATATATATCTTTACGTTTTCAAAGGTTTCTGAATATTTTGGCATACCTTAGAAAAAATGGATGTATGTGTGTGTGTGTGTGTGTGTGCGGATACAAATTTTCGTCGACAATTTCGGGAACACGGATGAAGCGATTTGAATAATTCAAAAAACATTCGATTCGTATTGATAAGGAGACGTGCTGATTAGTTTTTGGCAAAAGCAGGTCTAGCCGTTCCGAAGATATGGGGCAAAAAGTACCAAAAACGGTAAATCTGTTTTTAAGAGAACGGAGCGGATTTGAATAATTCAAAAAACATTTTACTTGTATTAACAAGATGAAGAACTGATCAAATTTTCATAAAGGTAGGTCTAACAGTTTCGGAAATCTAGTAAAAAAAGTAAAAAAATGCCATTTGGCGGTCAAAAATTATCATTAGATATATGCACATCAAACTACATATTTTATAGAGATTTTAACAATAAGTATAAATTTTGTTTACATTCCTATAGGTTTCGTACCAATGCTTATCCGTTAGACGGCGGCGCGGCACTTACGCGCTTCGATATTTTGTCTCTATTTAGTTAAAGCAGTACGATTGCTTTGAAAAAAGTTCAGAATTTCCAAAATATTTCAAAATAAATTTTTCTTCAAAAAGTCTTTTTTCTTTCAAAAAAAGTAAGTTTTTGTCAAAAATTTATAGTTTCTTATAAATCTAATTTTTTCAGAGTAAATTTTTTTCAAAAATAAAATTTTTAAATCTTTTTAAAAAAAATAATTTTTGGTACGGGAAGTTCCTGCAATTTGCCTTTAAGGCACGATGCCATGCGCTCACAAATATTAAAAAAATAACTTCAGGCACAAAAAATTAGTTTTTATAAATATTTTTGTTTTTACTTCAGATTAATAAGACGATATTACTAGTGCGTCAACAGTTTTTTATTGTCAACAAAATACTAAGTTTACACTATTTATTATTATCTATGTATATTTACAATATTTATTAACCAAAACTTTGTTTTCATAATAATTTCATTAGTTATATTGAAAAACTACATGAAATATAATACGGATATATAATAATAACAAAAGATAAAAAGTTCTTATTTTCAAAAATAGCTTATCGTTAAATTTACGCGCGAGAAACATTTCTTTTTTTTAATGCGGTTGGATATATGATTTAAGTAAAAAATAATATATTTTAATCTCTAGAACAAAATTCGAGAGTTGGTTAAAGAGTTTGCTCTAAGGTAATTGTGTAAATTATAAAAACGGTCATTTGCTCTAGCATTTTTGGTCCCCAATATCCCCTTTCCTCAATTTTTCTTTCATTAAGTTGGACTTGATTTTTTCCAAAAAAAAAAACAAATAAACAATATAAATTGAATGTTTAATTATGTGTAACTCACATTAGCTGACTATAATCTTATAGTAACATTCAAAAGATTCATTATTATTGATTTATGTATATCCTAATATTCCCTGTCTGAAAACAAAATTGAAGGCATTTTGATAAACGAATCTAATAAAAATTTTAGTCTTATTGTTAGAGCTTATTGTTAAAGCATTCGCCTTACAATTTTTTTTAATTTGATTTTTGATATTTTCATCTGAAGACATAAAGTAGTAAATTACTCAGTTAGTTTTTTCCTGATAGATATTAGAGGAACACTAAAACAAACACCCTGTACCCTCGTCTATAATTCAAAAGTTCAAATTTTTTTCAATATTCTATCCTATGCTTTGCAATATCATATTTGATGTCCTGCCTTTCTGATTCATTTATGGCCTTATCATAAGCAGTATAAGAAATTCAGAAAAAAATAATATAGTATCTGCGGTAAAAGAACAATATCACAATTGATTTGACCACACAACATAATTGCTTCAATATTTGGCAATTAAAATATAATTTCTAAAGTACATTTTTCTTACTAATAAATTAATAAACATTATTGTAAAAGTTCAGATCTTAAGTGAATTAATTTGTAAAATCTAGTTCATGTAAGCACTCCTCAATCTAAGATCAACTTGCTAAATAATCCATATCCAATGCTAAACAAATGAATTTTTGACATATAAAACAAATCCTAAATCATTTTTTTAATAAGCAGAAATATTTTTATGTATTCTGAAATAGTTTAGTAAAGTAAACCAAAATGCGATATGCATAAGTTTAAAAAAATAATGTGTATGCAATTTTGGACTTATTGCGTAATTTATTAAACTGAATTATATAATTTTATCTGCCAACATATACTGTTGACTGCATCTTATTTTAATGTCTGGCACATATCAGCTACTTTTCGGCAATAATAATGTAGACATTGCATTTTTCTTGTATATTTAATTTTAATATCATCTAGGCTCATAATTCCAGGTAAATTCAAATTTCAAGTGAATTGACATTTCTAGCAGATGACAGTTCAAATGTTTTGAATGTCAAACAATGATAAGTGTAATTTTTGCCATTTATTTCTAGAATATTTCTACAGTTGTATCGTTCATTAAGTCTTAAAAACTTCCTTTGACAAACTCTAAAAAGAATTATCAAAATCTGAATAACCGTTTAGGTTAGGAGAAGTATCAAATCATACACCCGTACAGAAGAATTTTATATATAAGATTTATATATACACGCTTATATGGATATAAATTCATATTTATATCCATATTGTACTTTTCACAACCTATACGAAAAACCTATCACAAAAAGTTGAAAATTGTTTAGCAAATTCATAAGTTAGACGTTTCAATGTTTTATACGACTTAAATTCAGTAGTTTCTGCTCTTATTTTATTTTTATCGCACATCTACTGCGTAGGTTGTACTTTTAGAGCCAAAACATAAGCTAAAACTTTAAGCCCCATACCTCATCCATTTTTTCTAGGTCATCCCTGTCAACCCGATGACCGTACACAAGTATTTAGAAATTATGTGGTGCCCCATAGACATAAAAGCGTATGGGAATATTAAATATAGTACAAACTTGCACGTAAAATTTAGAAAATCTAACTCATTTATCATAACATCTAATATGTTGTCAAAAAGCAATGCACATTGAAAAAATGTGTTTTCATATATTCACTTACTGTGCATTATTAACTTCCCGTAGGGTAAGTTATAGTAATCGCAAAAAAATAGAAAATATTTTTTTTTATATATCTTTACGTTTCAAAGGTTTCTGAACATTTTGGCACACCTTAGAAAAAATGGATGTACGTGTGTGTGTTTGTATGTGTGTGTGTGTATGTGCGTGTGCGTCTGTGTATGGCGTCTGTGTGTGTGCGTGCGGATACAAATTTTCGTCGACGATTTCGGGAACACCGATTAACCGATTTGAAAAATTCAAAAAACTTTCGATTCGTATTGATAAGGAGACGTGCAGATTAGTTTTTAAGATTTTAAGAATAAAAACATTTTACTTGTATTAACAAGATGAAGAACTAATTAAATTTTTGGGAAGGCAGCGGTTATAAGAATGAGTTAAAAAAATATCATTTAGCGGTCAAAAATGTTTATTGAACATATGTACATCAAATTATCAGATATTTTATAGAGATTTTAATACATTTTGAGTAAATTTTTTTGGGTTCCGTACCAAGATTTTTAATTACGGTACGGGAAGTTCAAGTAATTTGCCTTAGGGCACGATGCCATGCACGCCACTAGTTATTACTATAGTCACTCAAATACTATGGACCATACATAATCGGCCCCACATTGGTATAAGCAATTTACACCATTTTATGAGTCTTTTTAAAAAAAACGATATACCAATTTTCATTATTCTACCTCATGATTTGGCAAGATATCATTGAAAATGTGTGAAAGTGTTCGCTTATCTGAAACTATTCAAACAGTAAAATAACAAATGTGGTTATTTTCACAGTGGTCTAGACTAAACAAATTTGAAATCTTATAAAAGTAAAATTTCGAAACACATTGTTAAAATAATTTTAATAGTGTATTTGTTCAACATTGATAGAGAATACAAAAGATAATACATATCTTCAAAATGTTTATACAAAGTCAGTCTCATAATTTGTTGTGTATAACTCAAATATCCCAAAAAATAGATTCATCCTACAAACACTTGAACCAAATTACAAAGGTAATAAATTTCTTAAATTTTTAATAAATTCTAATATACAAAAATAGAATGAACTAAATCATTTAAAAAATCGTAAACGTTATATGAAGTTTTAATATTAGGTAGTTTTTCAACTAGAATTATATTGCAAAATTTAGATTTAATTGATATTTTTTTAATATATTATAAATAATTTATTCTTTTCACTGCTGAAAAATTATTTTTTGTTTTGAAAATTCAACAAAAATTTAACTCAAAAATTTTGGAAAATGAAAATAATGAAAGTAATATAGTTACACCTGAACAGTAAAAAACGTTAACAATAAAAAGTATAACAATAATACTAACATTTTCAATATTGATGCGAAAATCGGAAACTGCCAAAAAGACCAAATAGGTCTATAAGTATATGTTTTCGAACTAACCATAAAATTTGAAATTTTTATATAAAAAGCGGAAGTATTACAAGTCTACAAAAATATTGCATATTAAATTGACTTAAGCCATCTTTGCATTTCTTTTTTGAATAAGTGAAGCTTCAAATTATCAGACATTTTTAGAGAAAGGTTAACATTATTTTTGGATTCCGTACTAATATATGAACAACATATGACTAAATAT